GAATGGCTATATCCAATTGGGATCGATCGGTTTCTATCAGCGTCTGAATTGTTGCCGAATTGAGGCCAGTTTTAAGCTGATTTATAGTTGAATTTAAGTTTCGAATGGCCATGTCTGATTGGGATCGATCAGCGTCTATCAGCACCTGTTTGTGCTGATCAGAAAATATGGAAAATCAGACGTAAATAGTATCAAAATCAGCCTAAAATCGGCTATCTGATTTTTAGCCGATTTGGACTATTTCGACTAGTGTATAAAATTGAAAATTTAATCTATAAAATAAATAAACTATGACCTATACTTTAAGAATTTTAAATTAGAATTTTAATATCTTCAATATTGATAAAGTTATGTCAGGTTAAATTTATCCAAAATTAATTATAAAAAGAAATTTATTATTTATCGCATATGCAAAAAATTGCTAGCCCCTATGATCAAATTATGTAATACACGTGATACTAGTTAATATTATAATTATGTAAATAAATAATAATTAATAACAAAGTGATCTATTTTTTCACATTTCCTTTTGTTCATTTCTTTATCATTTCATCATAATAAACTTTATTTATAATAATAAATTTTGTTTAGTCATTTCTCTTTTTTTTTATTTCTATTTATCTTATTAATATATATTTAAAATTACACTATATACATTAATACTATGAATAAAGAATATAATAACTCTATTGCTGATTTTATGAAAATTAATATATAGAAAATGGTATTCTCTAGTAAAAATTTATTTAATGATATTTATTTTTAATGGTGAATTATCACTATACTTTAGTAAAAAATTTTTATCATAGGAATCTTGTGAAATTTTATTGCTAAATAGGCTAAAAAATAAGATTTTCATATATTAAAAGATTAATTTTACTAAGATAATGAAATAATTCGATAATGAACTTTTTTTTGTAATTATAGTAGAGTTTACAATTCTATATCAAATAAGAATACAAGTACAAAAAAAATACAATGTCTTTTTTTTTATTAATACATTTTATTTAAAGAATAATAATTCTGAAAATTTTGTAACTGTTAATAAGATTGTAAATTAACACAACCATACTTTAAATCAAAGTATGATTGAGTTTAAAGATGCAAAAAAATTCACTAGTTTAATGATAAAAAATGTAAGATTTATAACTATAAACTGCAAATTTGGAGTAACAATATAAAGAAAGTTTTTTGAAGAAAATTATCCTTCATAGCAAATTCACTCAAAAGATCTTTATGCTACAATATAAAAATTTTATTTTACTAATAAGTCTTTATCCAATAATATAACAAAAATCTCTAACTAACTTGATTAACAAAAAAAGCTTGATTCATATTGGATTATTGCACAAGAATAGAATGACAATAATATTTTAATTCATTTACTTTAGATAACACCTTAACAAGTAGAAAATTAGATCTAGAATTTTGATTGTATTTTTAATGATGTTACTTATAAAATTAATTAATATAGAATAGCATTATCATTATTTATTAGATTTAATAATAATCGCTATAATATTTTACTTGTCCAAGCTCTCTTAGCAGATAAAAGTCTTGAATCATATATATAGATGTTCAATCAAATAGTAAAATTAACTGGTATCTATTTAGCTATAATACTTACAGATGCTGATCCTATTGTTGATGCAGCCATTAAACAAGTTTTTCAATCAACCTATCCTATCTATTGTACCTATCATATAACACAAAACTTACATAAAAATTTCTGAAAATTTTTAAGTAATGATTATCAAAAATTTCTTAAAGAATTTTACAATTGCTATAATAATCTTTTTGAGGATATTTTTTAATAAAAGTTTGATAAAATCATTTAAAATTTCCAATGTATGATCTTATATAAAATTTTTATATAAATCAAAATTTTACTGAATACATTGTTTTACTAGCTTTAAGTTTACAGGAAGTATGATAGCTAACTTTCATATTAGATCTGTAAATGCATATTTAAAATATTTGTTATATAATTCAAATGTGATCTTATTAAAGTAATTTATAGATTGCTTGATATATAAGATAAAAAAATGAGTATAAGCTTTGACATTTATTAATTCTAACTATTAAAAATTAGTAAAAGAAAAATTTTCTATTATAAAAATAGATCAATGTCTTCAAGATTTTCTTACTTCTATAATGCTAAAAATGCGTCATGATGAAATTAATCAAGCATTATACTATACTTTAACTTTACTTAATAAAAATATCAGATTTCAAGATAAAGTAAATAAATTGTTTTAATTAATCATTTTTTTCAATCACAAATAACTACTAATTCAAATTATCAATATTAGGAGAAAGATATAACTATGCCTTTAAATCAAAAATCAAGTATTGATATTTCATAAGCTACATTAAAACAGATGATTAAATTTATCAGAACTTATAATAGATATGGGTAGTAAATGTGAAAAACTCATTAAATGCTAAATATCATATCCTTTTATTGCAAAATTATGGGCTTATATATTTTGTTTTTCAATTATATAATATGAAATTGTATACAGGCATTACTTAAGATAATATTAAATACAAGAAATGCTTTATTTCATATTAGACTTATTCTAATCTGATGGTATTGTATGAAAAAATGGCACAGATAAGGCATTTTTAACTGTTAATAAGTTTATATAAGAAGGTCTGAATATTACATATAATTATTATAATTCAATATCATATTTATATTTATTTGATTAAGATATCAAGGATTTTCATGAAGAAAGGTTAACAGTTTTTAAACAGAGAATGATTAGCGTGACTCTTGGAACTCTTTTGATACTAGTAATTAGAAATAAAATGCATGTTTAGGTATCAGATACTGTAAGATCCCCTTACTCTATAATTTGTTACAATATTACATGTTTCTTATGGCTCCCAAAATTGCGTATTTTCTATAAGGACAGCTAACTGAAATATTTGCAGTTCTGAAACTGCATCGTCTCTTGTAATTTCTTTTTTTTATAAGTGTTATAATAAGAACAGATGTATAAAACTTTTTTCATATCAAATAAGTGTAGAGAAGATATTATACCTTAACAATGCGAATAAGCTTCATAAATATTTCATCATCAAATCCTGTTTCTTGCTTGATAAGTCTTTATAAGATATCATTGTGCATTATTTCTAATAATATATCACCTAAAACCTCTGTCATTAACGGGCAATGTTAGACTTTAACAAAAGAATGTGTGATAAAGATCTATACAGTTAAGATAATTGTAATTAGTTTCTGCGGTAACTTAGCAATGAAAAATTGAGAGCATACAATATCTGCTATGTGTGACTTTCCATAAAAAGGACTTCTCTATTTGCCAATTTCACCAATTTTTCCTTAAACAAATACTATTTTTCAGAGACGTCTATGTTGTTTACAAACTATCTAGACTCTTTTCGAGATAATAGTCTTAATTTTAGTCTCAGGCATAATTTCAGTATCTGAAACAGATTCATTTCCTCTGTCTAAATTATTCTTAGATCCTAAAAATGGATTATTTTCAGCGTTCACAACTGATTCATAGTTCACTTGAGTAAAATAAATGATAACTAATTAATAACAGATAGCAACAATGAATAAAAAACGTAATGAAGCTTATATGCATTTCCTCTTCTGTTATGAACTTTGCTGATATTTTTCCTCAAAATCAAGTTCATCTTCTTTATTTTTCAGGGAGGCTGAATCCTAGATGAAAAGGAAAAAAGTCAAATTTATTACAAACATAGAAATAAATGTAACTAAATACTCACGCGATTTCATTTTTATCCGATTATTGATCTAGTATTCATCTTGTCCAACAAGTGTTGTTTGATAATAGTCTTTTATAATTCGAGATTTTGGAAAAATATTTCTTTTGTTATGTTTAATACATGTTGCACCTAAAAATGAACTTTCAGTGTATTAAGAACAGATGCGATTAAGTGTCAAGCCAAAATATTAATCTGTTTAATGTTGATTTGATCTTTCAGATTATTTAGTTTGTTTTTCTCAGATCACATTCAAGTTATTAATTATGAATACTGTTAAACAAAAAAGTCACTAAGATTTTTGAATGTATCAGAAAACTTACTTGTCGTAGACGTGATTTTTCCTTATAAAACCTGTTCTCGTTTTGAATAACTTTGTGCAATTCCTAAAAATCATTTATTTTTCTGAAACTTTTATTATTCTAATAGTATTAAAAGTAATAATGAAAAATATAACTAAGCTTGCCTAGAAAACTGCCTATTTACAAACAGAAACGCAGTTCTTTCTCACTGCCAAATAGCATTTAATAGGATAGTTTGTGAGTTGTTGTCACTGGCCTACTAACATCATGCTTACCAATAGAAATACAGTTCTTTTTCACTGCTAAACAGCATTTGACAGAGTAGTTGGTGATAGAGCTAGGCAATGCAGATAGGTAAAATAAATAAAATCAATTTATCTTGAATGAAATTTTTCATTTATTCACTTGCTTCACAATCTCAGATGAATCAGATAAGTATTCTGTGATAGTATCTAGTTCTTCATTGTAACAGCGGTATTCTATTTTTGAATCACTCAAATTGCCTTCACGTAAACGGAATTCCAAAAATTTTATAAGCGAAGGTTTTTCCGCACTCTCCAAGAAAGCTATATTCAATAAAATAAGATCAAAGTTATGAATATATTTCTAATTTAATTACTATCGCTATATTACACAAAAAATTATCTCACTTTTTTACTTCTACCTGAAGATTCTTTAAAGCTATTGTTATTATTGTAAAAATAGATAAAAT